GTCTCTCTCTCTCTCTGGTGAGTGCATGTACCCTATAGCAAAAATCTCTCTAAAAATAAATAATAAAAATAAAACAAACTATGTATGATATAATTTTGACAGTGCTCAATCTTTAGCCTGAAAGGGAACCAAATTTGGGAGCCTCTGGGTGTTCCCCCCAATAATTCTTCTGAGCCTCTCCTCCAGGCTTTCTTTCAGGACCACAAGATCCCTCCAGTTCCCTTTCTCCTTTTGGCCAGGAGGTGGGTGGGGACCACTTTGGTTCTGGATCTTGAGACTCCCTCCCAATAGACTTCTGCATCCTAACTGGATTATGACAAGAAGTTGAGAACTAAGAGGATACACAGCAACTGGAATATGAGATTAACTAGACTATACTGACTCTGAGTAATAGTTACTTTATTTTCAGGACATAAAAATTAACAAGCTAGGGCTAGCAGGTGGGGTGGTAGTTGGGGCACTGGATTCCCACATGGCCAACCGTGGTTCAAGTCCTGGACCCGGTGACTTGCTTTCTCATTTTCTCTTTCTCTCTCTGGTCAAATTTTAAAAATGATACTAAGAAATAAAACTAACTGAATAAATATATATATTTTTAAATTAACAAGCTAGAAAGTTGAAAAAAAATCTGCCATTCTTTGGTGACTTGCATTTCAGATGAATGTTTTAAATGGGAATGGGGGGTATTTTTCAGGAGAAACCTCTGGAATTCTTGTCATACTTTCTGCTGAAGAAATGTGGTAAAAAGAGCCAAGATTTTGAAGAAAATGTTATCCTGACAAAATGTGACCCCAAGGTAACATTTGATTCACATCTGAGAGTAAAGTCGCTCCTATGCTTTTATGCTGGTACTTTGCTGCAGAGTTGGGCACCTGTGATGAAGAAAGGCATAAACCATATGATGCTGGTTCTACCTGGAAAGCTTCCAGCTTGTCGTTTCTCCTACGAACTCATCCTCATGGACTATGAAAAAAAAAAAAAAAAAAAAAAAAAAGGTGTTTCAGGCCAGCCGGTGGCAGAGTGGTTGAGGTTCTGGATTCCACATGGCCGACTACAGTTCGAGTCCCAGACATGATGGCTTGAAAATCATGCTGGGTGCATGTGTGTGCGTGCGTGCCCAAAATCCTGAGAGGAAAATAGAGAAGGGATTGTGGTGTGGCCATCCCCCTGGGGGATAATTCCTCACTTTCCCTCTGTGCCTCTCTGGTGAGTGCACGCACCTTATGGCAAAAACCTTTGAAGGAAGGTGGGGGATTTCAAAGTTTCATAATACGAGGAACACTTAAGCCACTTAGAAACAAAAACTATACCATGTTCACTTGAGTAACGCTATTGAATTATGGGAGAAGAGTTGGAAATTTGCACTTTGCTTTATCACGTTGTGGACTCCTAAGGTAACTATGAGAACTTTTTTTTTTTTCTATTAGAAGCCCAGGACACTTTATGTATATGTGTGTATGAAACTAAAAATGGTCCCTTTTCTTTTTCATTCTTTTTTTCCTTCTGTATTCCTTCTTTCTCTTTCTCTCTTTTCTCTTTTTTCAATAGTTTTTCTTGCAGCTGTTTTAAAAAATATATATTTAATTTAATTTTATTATTATTATTTTAAATTTGTTGTAAGGCACAAAATAGAGATAGAGAGAGGGAGGGAAAGTGAGAAAGCAAGCCACCAGGTCCAGGACTAGAACTGTGGTTGGCCATGTGAGAGGCCAGTGCTTTAACCACCATGCCACTTGCTGGCCCTTCTTTCTTTCTTTTCTTATTGCTAGAGGGCACATGCACTCACCGAAGAGAAGGAAAAAGCACTCCCCCATGGGGTGTGGTCACACCGTGATCTTTGTTGCCTCCTGTCAGGATTCTGAGCACACATGTGCATGCGCCAGGTCTGTTTCAAGCTGCAGGGTCCAGAATTTGGACCGCAGTCGGCCACATGGGAACTGGTTGCCCACGCACATTACTCAACCCGTGCACCACAGGTTCGGCCCAGTTCCATTTTTCCTAGCTGAGATCAAAATTCATAAACAAAGAAACAAGAGCTTGAAGGTAGTTCCACAAACAAAAGAGAATAATTTTGCCAGGAATATGAGTGTTCATAATCCATACTTTCTTAGTTAAATGAAATAACCAGGATTCAAGAAACACTGAGAAATGAATTGTCATTCAGAGAGAGCTGACTTCTATGTAGGAGAAAATGTCATTTTAGAACTAATTCATGCCCATAGAAAAGTTTCCTATCTCTGATGTTCGAAGGCTTGGAATACCTCTCCCTAACAAGAACTCACCAAGGAGACTATTAGTATCAGAATTGTGAGTTCCCAGGCCAGCCTCTGGCATGATGATTGAGGTGCCTGGATCCCACATAACTGACTGTATGGTTCATTTCCAGATCTGGTGGCTTGAAAAATATTCTGGGCACATGTGTATGCATGCCCCAAATCCCTAGAGAGATGGAGGCGAAGGAATTGCAGTGTGGTCATCCCTCCTGGGGGGTGCTTTTGAACTTTTCCTCTCTCTCCCTGTTGCCTCTCTCTCTCTCCAGTGAGTGCATGCACCCTATAGAAAGAAAAAAAAAAAACTTGCAAATTTTCCTAGTAGATGAGGTGGATGCGCTCGCCAGAGACAGAGAGAAGGAGAGAGGAAGCACCCCTAGCAGTGCATAGTCATTCTACAATCCCTTCAGACTTTGGGCTCACACACACACACACATCCGATGTGTTTTTCAAGCTGCTGGGACTGGGACTCAAACCGTGTTCAGCCACATAAGATCTGGCTCCCTTAACTACTAGACTACAAGTCAGGCCTAAATTTGATATTCTGGATGTCTTTGTTAGTGTTTCTCTGGAGGAAGGCCGAGTTCAAGGTGAGGTCATTCAAGGGGGATTCCTGGTGGCCAGTCGGCTTTGCTAAGCTGCCCCAACCTAGCTCAGCAGAGTGAGAGACCTGCAGTTATTCATGCTCACCCTTCCACTATCGCCACAGCATGGCCCCTACGCCCTTAGTTTAATCCTCTCCCTCCCCCAAGTGGCTTGTTCTTCCCAACCACAGGCATCTCCCAGAGACAGGAGTCTTAGACACATTTCCAGAGGCGTCTGTCTGCAGCCACACCCCTCCATCTGTCTTCAGAAAACTCTTGGGCCACTCATTGCGCAAAGGCTACTGCTGTCTTTTCAGTTCAGTTCCCTAAATATTTACAGAACCAGAATGTGTGCTAGACAGACCCTGGGCATAGGCAGCTGCCTCAGACACAGTCTTGCCATCAGGGGAAGGGGACCTACACCTACACGGACCATGCCATGTGACAGTGCTGGTCAACAGAGTGCACAGGCCGGGTGGAGTGCCAGGATGGGGGTTTAATCCACATCCCCCTTACTGCTTCTCAGAGCCCGCTTCTTTGGCCTTGCAATAGCAGCCACCATTTCTTGAGATTCTTGGGGATTACTCCCCCTAGACAGTGGGCATGGTCTCCACACACCCTTCAGTCTGGGGAAGCCTTTGGAAAACAGCGCCTGGGCCTCTAATACCACTCCTTTCTCCTTGGTTCATGGGCACGTAGGATCAACTTGCAACCACATGACACAGGTTCCAGATTCTTCCAAAGTCCTGTGCCATGTGGGTGATTCCTTCCCTCCTGGCAACCCTGCTGGAGCTCTCTCACCTTTTATTCCTAAGGGTGAAGCTGTCACCCCAAACTCTGGGCATTCGGACCTAGAAATGCTCCTCTTTGGAGAAAGAAAACAATAGGGACAAAGTCATCAGCGTTTCCTCCTCTGAAGTGTTACTTTTACATAAGTTTATTTTTAAATTTGCTGTGGGATGCATGTGTTCTCCAGGGAGAGCCAGGGGGTAGGCTGTGGGGGCCAGTGAGGGGTAGTGAGAATGAACTCCCCCCGGGAAGGGGGGTGGCCACACTGCAACCCCTTCTCCTCCATTCTCTTCTCAGGAGTTTGGGCTCACATGCACACGTGTCTGGCATGTTTATCAAGCCGCTGGGTCCAGGACTCGAACTGCACAGTTGGACATGTGGGCTCCAGCCACCATAAGCACCACATTATTGGCTGGCCCTGAATTTTGACATGTGAAAGACATCAGTGAGAGCCATTTCTGGAATCTCTGACACTTAAAGAAATGGTCACTTGGAGCATTTCTTCTCAAAGCACTTTGATCACTGAGCTCTCTTACTTTCCTCTACCAAATAAAATCCACGTTGAACCTTCTCTTTCAACCTGACATTGACCTAAACATCTAATCAGGTTAATAAAGTAATGCAGGAAACTTGAACTTAACGGTGCCTCATGGCTGGAAATCAGGCCAGCTAGTTTACATCCTCTGCCTGAAATTAAACTGCAGAAATGCAAGACTCCGTAACACCCAGGAGTTCTGGGATATCTTTTTAAAAATCAAATGAGAAGAAAATATGTGGCTGATTTTCTTTTGGTTTTCTACTATGTAATACTTAAGAGCTTGTACATAAATCTCTAAAACAAATTTGGGGACCTCCAGGAGACAAAAGCATAGCTTAAACATGAGTGCTTAAACATTAGGCTAAAATAGAGGATCTGTCCCACGCCTCAGTGTTTATTTTTTAAATCGGGGATATTCTTTTAGAAGTACACATGAACTCACGGCTGGTAGAAAGGGGTGGAAAGTAACAGCTTCTCTGAGATGAGGGGTTGTGCAACAGGGCTTGTGTGTCAAATCTCGGAGCACCGCCTACCCGCCCATTCATCATCCACCATCTTGCTGCACTGCCCAGTCAGGACTTAGTCCTGGCTTTTCCCTGCCTATGGTGTTTACACTGATATTGTGCAAATACGGCCATGGGTTCCAGCCCAGAGTCATCTTGCCTGAGCTCTTCCTGTCATTCTCACGACTCTTTCTGGCCCCTGATCCGGATAGCTGAGTGTTTTCTGGCAGACACATCAGCAGTGACTAGGATGTCCCTGGAAAATGCAGAGCTTGCCCGGCTCTCTGCTAGAGGAAAGCTCCCACCCCATGATCAAAGGCTAGTTCTGTGGGCTAATTTCTCATATCCCCCTTATATCCTGGAACAGGCCGAGGCAAAGGCCTGCTACCCTGCAATCACAGTTTTCTTACAAATGTGTCTGTTATTTTCTCTGAATTCATTCCTCAAAACAAAATAAGGGATGGCCTCTTCATCTAAAAATTGTCTAAAAATCCTAACAACTAGATATGTAATATAAAAGGAGAGAAGTACTATTTTTAAATGATTATGCCAGACCAGCAGGCGGCATAGAGGTTGAGGCACCGGACTCTCATATGGTCGACCACGGGTCAAATCCTGGACTTGGAGGCTTGCTTTTCCCCCTCTTTCTTTGGTGAGCACACATGACCTATAGAAAATTAATAAGAAATAAAATAAAATAAAACATGAAGTTATTATGCCAAATCTTTCCTTGCCGCAAAGAAAAATTTCTATTTAAACTCCTGGGCTAGTCTCAGGGCCAACTACAGGTGGTAAAGGAGGCCCAAACCCCACATGGCCGACTGCATGGCTCGAATCCCAGCCCAGTGGCTTGAGAAACACTCCGTGTGTGTTGTGTGTGTGTGTGTGTGTGTGCACATGCGACATGCGTACTTGTTCAAATCCGGACGGGATGGAGAAATGGAGGAGATAGGATTTCTGTGTGACAGTGCTGATGGGCTATACTTTCTCCCCCTCCCCTGCTCTGTTGAGTTCTAGTTTATTTAAAAAAACAAACAAACAAAAACTGCCGCTGAGCCCGAGGTGGGGCAGACCCCCCGTGTAAGTTGCAGGTGTACAGGTTCTAAAATCTAGGGGACCCGGCAGCCATGCCCTCACCTGAGTGTTGGTGCAGATGCTCTTGGGCGAGCCTGTTCCATAATGGGGTGATGGACCACAGAAGGCGGCTCCCTTGTCTCTGGGAGCCACAGTGTGATTCTGTGCTGTTAGGGTTATCCTAATCTTGGCCTAGACGATTCTAGTTTGATTTTTATTTGATGTGTGCAATGACTTCCTACTGACACAGCTGTGGGGGTCACCACTAGGTCCCTGAAGAAGTCATTTCCCTGCTATAAATCATCCACTCTATGACTTTCTTGTAGAGAAGTGTGCATTCCACTCAAGGAGAAATTTGTAATTATGCTGTCAAAATTCAAAGCAGAATTTTCCCCCCAACCACAGTGCTATGTCCACAGCAGGCTGGTATGGAATAGGCACAAGCAAGGAAGACAAAATAAAGGACTGAGAGGCTTCTGGGACAAAACGCCCAGGCTCAGGTAGGGCCTCCTGCTGACCTGGCAGACACAGCAGCATGACAGGACCCAGCTCTTCCACAGACTCCAGGCTTCCATGATGAACGATGCAGTTGCAACAGAAAAATTCATCTGCCTGAGTAGTTAGGCAAGGGGAGTCTCAGTTGCAGATTGTCTTCCAGCCTCTGCCCGGACATCAAGGGGTTACCACTGGTGGCTTTTCTTCTGTTGATGAAGGACAGCAGTGAGGACCACTGATACCTTTTATCTCTCCACATGTACTTGGGGACCATGATTCCATGGCTAGCCCGGCCTCTAGGGTGCTGCAGGTGTCTAGAAGGGCTATTAAAAAAAAAATCCCAGATGACACGTGCTTGTCAGAGAGAAAGGGGAGGAGAAAGCACCTCCTTCTAGGCCATGGTTATGCTGCAGTCCCTTCTCCTCCATGTCATCCTCTCAGGATTTGGGCCACGTGTGAACACACACCCAGTATGTTTTTCAAGCTGCCAGAACCAGGATTTAAACTGCAATCGGTCATGTGGGATCTGGCTCTCCTAACCACTAGGCTATGGGGCCAGCCCTATCTTTTTTTTTTTTTTTAACATCCTAATTTATATAGCAGCCACAGCAAGAACAATTACCAAGGTGAAGTGAAAAAAGAATAAGCCAGATTTAAATGTGGAAAAAAGACAGGTCTAAAAAGGGTATGTGAACTGTTTATGACACATTTTTGTTAGGTGAAAAGGGGATGCATTTTATAAAGTGCTGTGAGCTGTCCCTTCTGGCAACTTAACACTAAGATAACCTGTTCGTCCTCCATTGCCATGTGACAGAGCAGAACCGAGGTGAAAGCCTGGTACCGAAGAACGTGTGTGATTGCTTAAGCTCAAAGAGCCCCAGGAAGTCGCTCCCTGACCGGCCAGGAAAAGAGGAAAGTAAAACGTAGTGTCAAGAAAGAAAAAGCTATTTTCTAGAGCGTATTTTCTTTTTTTACATTTTTCAGAAGGTACATTCACTTGCCAGAGAGAACCAGAGAGAGAGAGAGCGCGCACACTCCCCACTGGACTGTGTTCACAATACACTCCCTTCTCTATTTCTCCACCCTGTTGGGATTTGGGGCACGCATGCACATGCGCCCAGTGTGTTCTCCAAGCCACCAGGGCCGAGACCCAAACACCAGTCGGCCATGTGGGATCTGGCTCACCTCAATCACTGATCACAGGGCCAGCCTGGGAACATCAAGTTTAACTTAATAGAGGCCTCACATTGTCAAACAGTTCATTGTGTCTAGGGAACATCGCGCATAGGGCTGGAGGCAGATGGTGGCTGAGGCCTCTCACGGGCAGAGTATCGACTGGCTTACGGAGACCCCAAGGCCTTCCTCCAAATAATCAGGTTTTCATTAAAGCCTCAGGGAGAAGATGGTGTAGAAGGTGATTCTCCACATACGAAGTCAAGTCTCAGCAAGAATGACCTGAATTTGGAGGCACTGGTTAAGCTGGTGAGCCCCATTATTACACAAGACGACGTTTTCCTTTGTTTCACTCCTGACAGTTGAGCTTCAATCTTATTCTGGTTAGTGTTTTGTCTTCCTTAAAAATTCTCCTCAGGGGAGAACAATTAAGAGGAATCCACAGATGGATTTTCCTTTGGAATAAGCCCTGTCCTGAAAAGAAGCTGAGCCAAAAGGCTGGAGGGTTAACATTTAGGGAGCAAAAGGAATCCTCATGTCCCCTGTCATTTTCCCCTTGATACTAGGACACCATTTAAAGACAAGACACGTGGACTCAAAGGCTCCGTGTCTCATGGGTTAACGTATGGGCCAACCTCCCAAGTTGAGGACCGTGTAACTGCAAGGCTCTATCTGTGTGAACGGGCGGTGCATGCGTGGAGGAAGCTGCAGCGTCCATGGACACTTGATCCTGGCGAGTGTCTTTATTCGCAGTCTGTTAGGATGGTTCTGGAGCGATGTGGCATCGCGCGCCCCCTGTTCAGTAGGCACCTTCTGTCTGCTGCAGGAACAGAGTGCACCTTCAGCTGCATTTCCCACTGCGCGGCGGCGTCTGTTTCATTGATTGGCCGCCTGTCAAATCAGAATCTGATCCGCCTCATTAACAAACCCTGTCAAACAGGCTTTCACTAAATTGTGTGTGCTGCTTAATTTCTCTTTTTTTCTTTTCAGAGAGTAAGGCAAACTTCATATAAAGGAGGCTGTAGCAAAAGGTGTAGGAACCGTTGCCAGGTCTTGCAGTGGGGGAGAGAGTACTGACTCCTCTCTCTGCCTCTTTATCTTTGTTGTTGTTGTTTTGAGAGGTTTTTTTGCTATACCGCGTGTGTGCTCACCAGAAAGACAGAGAGACAGAAAGTGAGAAATCACCCCCCCAGGGGGGATGGTCACGCCGCAATCCCTTCTCCTCCATTCTCCTCTCGGGATCTTGGGCACGCACGCACACGCGCCCGGTGTGAGTTTAAGCCACCGGGTCCAGGAACTTCAACCGCAGTTGACTACATGAGAGTTCAGCGACATAGCCAGTATGCTAACTGCTGGTCCCACTGCCTCTTCATCTTAAAGTGCACCCCAAGACCACCTTGCCCCACCACCTTCAGACAGGGATGAGGGAAATGGTCAGTCTGGACTCCTTCCTCATGATGCTCTGTGCTGTCTGGACTCTGTAGAGAGGCCCCACAGCAAGGAGGCCCTCACCAGTCACAGCTCCTGGACCTCAGTTCCCCAGACCATGAGCGGAATACATCTCTATTCTTTATAAACTCTTCACACTCAAGTATTTCTGTTTTTAGTAACACAGTGAACACCTGGTATGAATTTTAGGGGATAAATGGATAAAGCCTCATTCTGACTTTCTTGGGATCCAAGACTAAAAGTGCCCTCCTCCTACAACATCAGGATGGCCTGATGTGACAGGCTCTTTGGTGATCCTGGGAACAAGCTTTGGCCAGTGGGACCCTCCACCATCCCCCGCCAAGGACCCTTCAACCCTGCATATCATGAGCCAGAAAGGGGATCTCCATGGAAACGTCTGCATCCTCAAACCGTCTACCTCTCTCTAACCGTGGGCATTCAGGCTTCTTGGGGCTGGAAGTCTGGAAAGAGTCATTATGCTTTTTTTTATGAGTTCATAATGCTTTTTTATAGGAGAGAAAACTCCCAATAGACTCAGCAGAAAAGCGAACGAGGGTGGTCAGGGAACTCTTACAGAGTGAGAGGAAATACGTGCAGGTTCTGGAAATCGTGAGAGACGTTTACGCAACACCACTGAAAGCAGCATTATCATCCAACAGAGCAATTCTCAGCACTGCCAACATCCAGATCATTTTCTCGGATATTCTGCGGATTTTAAGCCTCAACAGGTAGACCCTGAATATATATTTTTAAAAAACGTTCATTGTGGGGACCAGCAAGTGATGTGGTGAAGGTTCTGAACTCCCACATGGCTGCCCATTGAGTCCCGGACCTGCTGTTTGAAAATCAAGCCAGATGCAGGCACATGCATGGCCAGAATGCCAAGGAGAGAGTGGAGGAGAAGGGATTCCCCCAGGGGGGATGGTCACGCCGCAATCCCTTCTCCTCCATTCTCCTCTCGGGATCTTGGGCACGCACGCACACGCGCCCGGTGTGAGTTTAAGCCACCGGGTCCAGGAACTTCAACCGCAGTTGACTACATGAGAGTTCAGCGACATAGCCAGTATGCTAACTGCTGGTCCCACTGCCTCTTCATCTTAAAGTGCACCCCAAGACCACCTTGCCCCACCACCTTCAGACAGGGATGAGGGAAATGGTCAGTCTGGACTCCTTCCTCATGATGCTCTGTGCTGTCTGGACTCTGTAGAGAGGCCCCACAGCAAGGAGGCCCTCACCAGTCACAGCTCCTGGACCTCAGTTCCCCAGACCATGAGCGGAATACATCTCTATTCTTTATAAACTCTTCACACTCAAGTATTTCTGTTTTTAGTAACACAGTGAACACCTGGTATGAATTTTAGGGGATAAATGGATAAAGCCTCATTCTGACTTTCTTGGGATCCAAGACTAAAAGTGCCCTCCTCCTACAACATCAGGATGGCCTGATGTGACAGGCTCTTTGGTGATCCTGGGAACAAGCTTTGGCCAGTGGGACCCTCCACCATCCCCCGCCAAGGACCCTTCAACCCTGCATATCATGAGCCAGAAAGGGGATCTCCATGGAAACGTCTGCATCCTCAAACCGTCTACCTCTCTCTAACCGTGGGCATTCAGGCTTCTTGGGGCTGGAAGTCTGGAAAGAGTCATTATGCTTTTTTTTATGAGTTCATAATGCTTTTTTATAGGAGAGAAAACTCCCAATAGACTCAGCAGAAAAGCGAACGAGGGTGGTCAGGGAACTCTTACAGAGTGAGAGGAAATACGTGCAGGTTCTGGAAATCGTGAGAGACGTTTACGCAACACCACTGAAAGCAGCATTATCATCCAACAGAGCAATTCTCAGCACTGCCAACATCCAGATCATTTTCTCGGATATTCTGCGGATTTTAAGCCTCAACAGGTAGACCCTGAATATATATTTTTAAAAAACGTTCATTGTGGGGACCAGCAAGTGATGTGGTGAAGGTTCTGAACTCCCACATGGCTGCCCATTGAGTCCCGGACCTGCTGTTTGAAAATCAAGCCAGATGCAGGCACATGCATGGCCAGAATGCCAAGGAGAGAGTGGAGGAGAAGGGATTGCAGTGTGGGCATCCCTGGTGGGGGTGATTTATCACCTTGCATCTCTGTCTCTCCAGCAAGCACACACCCTATGGGAAAAAACTCAAGAAAAAATAAAACAGTTCATTGAGCAGTGGGAATAGCCCACACTTGATTGTTTCAGAAGCAGAAGGGAGGCCCCATCGTTCTCTTCTCTTCTTGGGAACCCTCCTGATCTCCCAAAGGAGAGAGACTCCACCTCACACCACTCACCAGGCTGCAACTAATAGTGACAGTCCCCAGGGGCCACCCCATTCTCAGTTCAGCTGCAGGGCAAGGAGGGCAAGTTGCATTCTGCAACCCACAGGCAGGTCAGGAGAAAGACCAGGGATGGAGCACCGTGGAGAGCCATTCTCAGCCAGCAAGGCTCAGCCGAGGCATGGGAAAGGGAGAGAAGGATTTTAGCGTGTTAAGCCACTGGGGCACTTTGCTTGGAGACCCCAGTCAGGGTGCCTTTAATAACAACGTACATTTCGAGTGTAAAACACGAGAGGAAAGTGCTGATGTCAGACAAACCGAGCTATGCTTCTCTGACGGAACTTGCCAAGGAAAGGGACCGAGTCTCCACCCTCAGGGCGCTCCCTGTCCTGCGAAATGGAGAGCTTGAGGGGACCTCTTCCATTTTCAAGGCCTGCAATGACTGAGTGAGAGACTCCCTTAGAGCGGGGGTATGGCCGAGAGGGGCTTGCTGAAGTCCGGGAGCACTCTCTGGGGACTGTGAGAGCCTCACCACCTGTGAGGCAATACAGAACCTGGCCATTCAAGGACAGCCCTGCCCAGACCAGCCAGGGGTTTCTACTGGAGGAATTAGGGTGAAGAGGTGAGGTTCTACCACAGCGAAGGGACTCCTTCATGCCCCAGTGTCCCCCTCCTGTCACATGTGCACTGCTCTGAGTTGAGACAAAAGTGTTTGATGGGGGCCGCAGTGGTATCTGTGCCACTGGGGGCAGTTGGGTCCCACGTGACTGGTCCCAGTCCCACAGCTTGAGGAACATGCTAGGCATGCGTGAGAGTGAGCTCAAAATCCCAAAAAGCTAAAGGAGGAGAAGGGATTGTGGCCATCCCCCCCTGGTACTTTCTCATGTCCCACCCGCCCTCTCATCTCTCTCCAGTGGGATCACGCACCGTATAGCAAATAATAATAATAATAATAAAGTAGTTAACAGTAGTTAACAGAAACCCACTGTAAAGGAGGAGGCTGAAAGGCTGCCCTGTTTAAGGTTTTCTTGGGCTAATATTTCATAGTTATGCTTTTCTCATACTGCAGGCAATTTCTGGATGACCTGAGACACCGGTTACAGGAGTGGGGCCCAGCTCACTGTGTGGGGGACATATTCATAAGGTTTGGAAGCCAACTGAACACATATACCAACTTCTTCAACAATTACCCTGTCGTGCTGAAAACTATTGAGAAGGTAGGTGGTTGAGTTACCACCCCATCACATCCTTTTACTAGACTTTCTGAGCTTGAAAGGGACATTTTCATTTGATCCAAATATCAGAGTTCATGGGATAGACTGCTTCTCTGCTCCTAACTTCCAAGTCTTCCTCGTATACTGAGGGGCCCTGACAGAGCAGAGCCCAGGAACTGCTTGTCGACCCGAACTAGCCCTGGGGAGTGGCTGTACCTTGTGGCTCAGCTGTGAAAAATGTTCCAGGATGAAATAGGAACAAGACTAGAAGCTCTGATATGCCACTCTAACCCTGTGTGGCCTGTATACTCAGCTCTCTTATGTAGAAAGTAATTAATAACCTACACATCTCTTGGAATAAGAGCAGTTTATGAAGTCTCACCATGAAAGAACTTTCTTGGCCGTTCACTGCCCAGAGAGTTCATTATAAACAGTTTGTCCTGTAGTGACTTGGGCTATTATTTAGGAATATCCCCCTTCCTCCTGCATCATCTGCTGCTCTTGCTGGGGTATCTTCTGTTGGAAATAAGACCCTTTTCCTCCCTCCTCGATTTGCATGAAGCTCGCAGTAGAGTTTGCCTTGCGACATGGCAGCAACTGCCAGTGTCTGCTGGGCCCACTTGTCTTCACCTGAGGAGGCCTGAAGAAAAGGCCTGGAACCTCCGGAGCTTCCTGACCTTGGACACTTTTCTTAGTAGTTTTGCTCCCACCACTCAGGGAGGTTAGTCACTGCTTGGCAGCTGGATCGTGCAGACCTTGCATGAAGAAGGCAATTTCACAGAGCCGACCTTGAGAACAAGGATTGGAGCGATGTGTCACATATCATCAGAAACGAGCTGGTGCCAAAATGTTTATAGCTGTGGACAATAACAGTGTGTATTTCACATGTAGCATAGTGTGTGCATGTAAGTACTCAAAAGGTGTTAGCTATTTATATGACTGAAATCTGAATATTTGATTTCTAAAAACTAGCATTACTGACATGTTTTTAAGCAGGTAAAAGAAGGTAACTTTTCAGGTGCTCTAATGGTGATGGGCAAGTATCTTTTTTCTTTTTTGAGAGAGAAATTTTTGCTACAGGGCATGTGCACTCACCAGAGAGAGAGAAAGCTAGAAATGCACCCTCAGGGTGAATGGCCATGCCACAGTCCCTTCTCCTCTATTCTTCTCTTGGGATTTTGGGCATCCATGCACACATGCCCAGCATGAGTTTTTTGTTTTTTGAGAGAGTTTTTTGTTTGTTTGTTTGTTTGTTTTTTGCTATAGGGCATGTGTGTGATCCAGACAGAGACAGACAGAAAGCGAGAAATCATCCCCCGGGGGGATGACCACTCCACAATCTCTTCTTCTCCATTCTCCTCTCGGGATCTTGGGCACGCATGCACACATGCCCGGCACGAGTTTAAGCTACCAGTCTGGGACTTGAACCATGGTAGACTACATGGGAGTCCAGCAATGTAGCCATTACACTAACTGCTGGTACCTCCAGCAAGAGTTTTTAAGCCACTGGATCCGGGACTCAAACTGCAGTCAACTACATGGGAATCCAGCAATGCCACCTGCTGGTCCTGAGTATCATTTTAAAACATGCTAAGTACAGTGGAGCACTTTTAGAATATTAGTACAGAAAACATGATTATCAGTGATATTAAAGGTGAATAATACTAATAGAAAAAGTCTTACTATAATGAAATAACAGTTACTAGGAGACAGGTACTTTATGGATAGGATTGTTTTCCTTTCACCATAAGAGTTAGGGGTGATACCATTTGATAGATGAGAAAGCAGAGGCTTAGAGAAGTGAAGTAACTTGACAAGGTTGCATATTCAGTTTTCTCTAATTCTAATCCAAGTTCACTGGGTTGCAAAGTCTACTTTTGTCTATACCAATTAAGTTCAATGAATAGGGTTAGGTCTATGTATAATGAATATACTATACTTAGTATGTGTTGGAGACACCAATAGCGCTATTTATACATTGACCAATTAGATGTAGAAGTTTGCCCTTTTTGCTTTGTGCTCCTCAGATCATGCTAGCTCAGCAGAAGAGGGCTTTATGACAGTCTTCCAGAGCAAAGTTCTTTGTTATTAGATTGTGGGGAAAATCCGGTGACCTAATAATTTTTGCTATAGGGCTTGTGTGCTCACTCTAGACAAAGAGAGAAAAAAGAAAAGTGAGAAAGCATCACCTGGGGAGATGGCCACATTGCAATCCTTTCTCCTCCACTCTTGGGATTTTGAGCGTGCTTGCACAAGTGCCCAGTGCATTTAAACAGCCAGTCCGGGACTCGAACCGTGCTGTCAGCCCTGTGGGATCCAGTCACCTTCACCACCATGCCACCTGCTGACCCCCTAGAGTCAAGGTTTGACGCTATCATTCTAATTTTTTAGTGCAGAGAAACAATACCAGCATTCCGAGCTTTCCTAAAGAGGCATGACAAAACCATTGTTACGAAAATGCTGAGGTAAGCTCTGAGGGAGAAGATCCCCCAAAAGATGAGGCATCCCTCAAGGTTCAGAGACCAGCCTTGTCTCCCTCTGTGCCTCCTGTACAGCCTGCCAGAGCTGCTTCTGTACCCATCACGAAGGTTTGAAGAATATACTCATCTTCTCTACGCTCTGCGGCTTCATACCCCTGCAGAACACGCTGACCGAGGGGACCTGACCACCGCCATCAACCAGATCAAAAACTACAAAGCCTACATAGATGAGGTTGGTTGCTGCGCTGTTTACAAGTGTTGCAGGGATTTTGAGGTCCTCTTAGTGAGCATCCTGAGATCCCTTATCTTGTAACATTCTGTAAAGGCTTCAAAATCTTTCATCCTTTTAATGCTGACTCAATAGTTGTGTTCAGTGATTTTGGAAACTCAGGACACCAATTCTAAGCCAAACGACATGAGACCGAATGTTTTCAGGTATCTACAAATACAATAAAATCTTATTAATATGAACATTTGAAGAGTGGGCTATTTTGATTGATTTTTCTAGATAAAGAAATAAGAATGTAAAAAAAATCATTTAAAAAAGTAAAAAAAAAAAAAAAGAGAGAGAGAGAGAGAGAGATGGGAAAAAAACCTGAAACTATTTTTTAAAAACTATTTTTTAAAAAACTATTTTGAGCCAGCAAGTGAAATGGAAATTAAGGTGTTGGATCCCACATGGCTGGTTGTACAGTTTGAGTCATGGCTTGAAAACCATGCTGCGGGGACCAGCAGATGGCATAATGGTAACATCGCTGGACTCCCATGTAGTTTGACCGTGGTTCAGGTCCTAAACTTGGTGGCTTCAAATTCACACAGCTGTGTATATGTGCCAGAGGGCACATGTGCTCACCAGAGAGAGACAGAAACAGAGAGAGAGGGAGAGGGAGAAAGCACCCCTCAATGGGACAGACCATGCTGCAATCCCTTCTCCATTTCTTCATCTTGCTGGGATTTGGGGCATGCCTGCATATGCGCCCATGCTTTAAACATACTTTAATCTATTTATTTTATATATAAAAAAGGTCTGATAATTGATTTGCCAAAAATCTCTTTGTCTTCTAGGTGAAGAAAAACATCAACATGAAAGATCAGCTCTCAGATCTGACGAGAATGATCGTGGGGTGCCCTGTATGTATGCTTACATACTTGCTCCAACCCGCGCTGGGGAATATAACCTCGGGCTCCTGGCAGGAGTCAGATCCCAATGCAGCCAATAGCTGTGGACCAGCTGCCGCATGCCAGGGGCTGCAAGCTCCCCCATTTCACACTCTTATTAACCACGAGGGTGCTCGACCAGCAGAGGCATAGTGAGCTCAACCATCTTCCATAACTTTTCTACAGTATTAGCCGCTTGCTTGGTATAACTGTGCATGATTCCCTCCTTCCAAGGAACATGTGTTCAACTGGTTTTCTGTCACCCTGCATGTAGTGCTGGGTGTGCAAGAGTCTGCACACTGAGGCTGTCTGAAAAAGATCAACAAGTCCTGTTAGCTGTTACCTGTAGGATATTCTCCCTCTCTGCATGAGACAGAGAGGCAGTACCCACAGTGGAGTCTCAATGTTACCACTCACCCCCAGCTTCAGCCAGCCCTGGATCATGGGCACACACACATCTGGAATACTTAGGGAGGTCTCTGGATGTGAACCCTGAACCTTCCCATGTGGCCTGTCTCACAGAGCATCATATTTTGCCCATACACCACTGCTCAGCCCCTTGGGAGCTCTGCCATGTATGAGCTAAGGTTTACTTGTCTTCTAGTGTCTGTCAAACAGTATGTGTTTCACATATGAATTAGGTTCAATTAAAGTAGCATTTGATGGGGATGTTCTAATTTGGTTAAACTGGGAAAGTAAGATAGTTATTTTATCATAATTTCACTCTGCACATTTTGGGAGGGAAAGAACAATGTAATTGACCAGATTTCAAAGGTCCAATTTTTTTTTTTTTGAAGAGGATTTTGCTACAGGGCATGTGCGCTCACCAGAAAGACAGAGAGAGACAGAGAGACAAAAAGTGAGAAATCACCCCCCCCAGAGGGGATGGCAATGCTGCAAAAAATTTAAAAAGATTAATTCTTTTTTTTAAAGAGACTTTTGCTATAGAGCATGTGTGCTCACCAGGGAGACAGAAAGTGAGAAATTACCCCCCCAAGGGGGATGGCCACATAGCATTTCCTCCTCTTCCATTCTCCTCCTGGGATCTTGGGCACGCACACACATGTGCCTGGCATGAGTTTAAGCCGCCAGATCCGGGACTCTAAGTGCAATCGACTATGTGGGAGTCCAGCGATGTAACCACTATACCATCTGCTGGTCCCCACTTTTATTATTTTTTAATTTGACCAGAGAGAGGGAAAGTGAGAAAGAAAGCCACCAGGTCTGGGACTCAAACTGCAGTCAGCTATGTGGGAATCCAGCACCCTAACTACCGTGCCACCTGCCAACCCCATTAGAATTTTTCCTTGATAACTCCCTTCTTGACCTCTCCATCAACTTTGTTTTTAAAATCTTTTTCCAGGGGGAATGTGTGTTCACCAGAGACAGAAGGAGAGGGGTGGAAAGCACCTCCCTATGGGGCACGGTCACATCACGATACCTTCTGCATTTCTCCATGCCGACTTGGGGCATGCACACACACACGCCTGACAGTTTTTCAAGCTGCCACAGCTGGGATTTGAATCTCAGCCAGTTCCTTTAACTACTAGGCCACCAGGCCAGCCCCCAACTTTGTTTTTGATACTAGAAAAACATTTATAATAAAACAATAATTTCAGTAATTTTAAATGTTTGACAATATCTTCAAGTAGTTTTTAAAGAATTACTTAACTTTCTTTTATTTTGACAAGAGAGAGAGAGAGAAGAGAGCAAGTTGCCACCAGGTCCAGGACTTGAACCAAGGTCGGCCACATGGGAGTCCAGTGTCCTCAACCACTATGTCACCTGCTGGCCTCCAAATATTGTTTTTATTTTCAATTCCATGCTCTTCCTATAGAAAGCCTGTTTGATAAACAATGAAAATATTCACTGTTTCATAATTAAACTGAGTTCTAGTCCACACTTGCATATTCTAGGGTATAAAATGCTTTTTCAGTTGGCCAGCAGGTGGCGTGGAGGTTGACATGGCTGGATCCCACACGGCCAAATATGAGGGTCAAGTGCTAGACTTAGCAGCTTAAAAATTATATCAGGCGTGCATGTGTGCATGTCCCAAAACCCCTGAGAGGAGAATGGAGGAGAAGGATGGCAGGGCAGTCATCCCCCCTCCCAGCAAAAAAGAAAAAAAAAGTTTTGCAATAGTGAGATGATTAAAAATTTAAATACACTTCTAATTTTACTTTTTATTTTGTAGACTCTGTCAGAGGTAAACAGATATCTGATTAAGGTCCAAGATGTAGCCCAACTTCACTGCTGTGATGAGGAAATAAGTTTCTCTTTAAGGTAAACGACAGCAATCGTAAGGAGTGGGCTCCTGAGAACAAGTGAATCTTACTAACCTTGTATCTCCAGCCTTCAACACCACGTCTGACTTCTTTATGAGGAATCTTTACTATGAACTAAAAGTAATAAAATACATACTCCTCAGAGGTAGCCTAAGGTATTTTATCACTGGCTTGAAGTCTAGGCAGCTACTAGGTAGAATGAGAGAAAAGAACCGGTCTCCACCACGCCCCCGAACTCCACCGAAGCAGGAATTCTGAAGCTAGTCACTTTCCTGCTTAGCAAGCTCCATGTGTTGTGGGATTTCACACCAATCCCCCCACTGTAAGGAAGAGAGGAACAGTTTATTATACTGTTAGTTAAGGTCAGTGTGAAAATGACCTTTTCATAGCGTTTACACAGTGCTCAGAGTACTTCCAGAACAAGAGAGAAGAATACCAATTTCCACAAATTAGTATCCCTTTACTTTCTTTAGAACAAGAATTGGTAATTTTCTCTGTAAAGATTTAGTTAGTAAATATTTTAGGTTTTGCTGACCAAAATGATCTCTGTGGCAGCTACCTAACTTATCTTGTGTTTGGACAATAGCTGTGTGTATATTTGAGGACCTGAGGATAATACTAAGTCACTTTAGTCTCTAATTGTGAAGTACATTTATTTTTAAGTGGACAATTTCCCGATGATAACATTTATACTGTTTTCCTTTTTCTTTTCTTTTCTTTTCTTTCTTTCTTTTTTTTTTTTAATTTTTTTTAGAGGTTTTTGCTATAGGGCATGTTCACTCACCAGAAAGACAGAAACAGAGAGACAGAAAGCGAGAAATCATCCCCCCAAGGAGGATGGCCACCCCGCAATCCCTTCTCCTCCATTCTCCTCTTGGGATCTTAGGCACATACGCACAAGCGCTTGGTGTGAGTTTAAGCCACCGGGTCTGAGACTCGAACCGTGGTCAACTACATGGGAGTCCAGCTACATAGCCATTACACCAGCTGCTGGTCCCTACACTGTTTTTCAGTGAATATAAATGTAATCTTACATTAATATTTGATACTAAATAAATACAAATGAGCTCATATTCCAAAAGGTATCACAACATTTAACCTGCAACCTTGTTTTCTGTCATTTGAAAAAATCACATAAATCCCAAGGAATGCCAGTCCCATGATTTCCATTAGGAATTTTCACTTGGAGGAAACACACTTACTTATATTTACATGTACAGTACCAGCTCACGTGGGGATAAGGCTTTATGGTTTACCACATGTCTTAACTTCTCTCATTTGATAAATTCCTTGCAGTCACTTGGTGAGACAAGTAGAACAGGAATTAGGGGGAAACTGACTTAGCTAAGCTGCCTGAGGACACAGGATGAGTCAGTCCTGTCTGGAAGTCAGAATCAGGTACCAGTGCATGGGCAGAGCTGTCTCCACTGATGAGACCAGGAAGTGGGAAGGTGAACCAAGAGTTTATTTTCATAACCTCATCAACATAGCAGCAACTATTGAGCAAACAATTAATAAACAAGAGTTTGCCTTGGCAAATAGAAAGGAGGGGTAAACATTTGCATTCTAAATGGAAAAAAAAATGATTTTAGGGTAGAGAGGAAGGCATCGTCATTTTAAGAGCAGGCACACTTGGTGGGGAGGGCATCTGCTCCTCTGTGGACACAGACTAGAGAGTGCTGGGTATGTAAAGCTTTTATAATGCATTATGTACCTTGGAGATCTGGTGCCATTGTTTTTTCGGAAACGTTCATTTCCATCTATGTGACTTTGAGCTGCTAATTTTTAGGTGTGTTTCACTCTTCATCCCCCCACAGGAATCTTGCCAAAGGTACAAAGGTAGAACCTTCCAGGACTGGTGAACAGAGAGCTGGCATTGGTCACCCAATGGAGTCATCCACTCCCTAAACCCACAGGCCCTGTAGTTGCCCAAATAAAATACCTGAATCTGGGTGGTTTATAAAACTAGAGGTTTATCCAGCTCTAGTGGAATGGCAGGGTTTGTCTGGCTGTGCCATAATATGGCGAAGGGAAGGAGAACATGGTCTGTGTCCTGAGTTTCTCTTTTTCACTCCCTCTCCTTACACAACCCACCAAGAGTCAACCATGGGGGCCCCACCCTGCTGATCTAAACCCTAACCTCCTCCCAAAGCCCCGCCTTATGATGCCACAATTAGATTAAGTTCTCACTCTTACTCTCATTACAATTGCTGAACACGTGAATTTTCAGGAGACATACTCAAACTACAACACTCCCCTTGAGGAAAGACCCTGCTGGCTGCCAAAAAGGAGTATCATACAGTTTCCTCTTGGCCCTTCCCAGTGGGGAAGTCCTTTACCATGGTAACTATGCACTGGGGGAAGGCAAAGACCCCGACTTCCCAAGGATACTGAACTCTGCTTGTGAATTTACTTTTATCCTGGGAACCCAAAAAGCCACTGGGATCCAACAATCGGGGTGTGGAAGTATGGAGGCTGGCTGATGTACTGGGTCGTCGGGAAAGTCATGACGCTGTTTGCATAGAAAATCAGGAAAATACATCATGACTTTCCCAAAGACCTAAGAGTTTTGGGCCATTTCAGCTTACAGGAGAGCCAATGGCTGGTGTGGTCTATTCCTGCCGAAGGTCGTGTCCTGAAAATCTTTTAGTTTTACGTACTTATAAAACCTGGGTACTTTGTGCCTTTATCTATCGGGCTGGCTAATGCAGTAAATGGTAACAAATGCTTCCAGTAAAGTTAAGAATTTACATTATACTGAGTTATTGTAGCTATTTGTAAATAAGTAAAGAAACCCTACTGAAGTCCAGGGGTAAAAAAAGTACCCTTCAAAGCCCTGGCACCTTGTCCTGGTGGGTTAAGGGAGCTGGATCCCACATGCTGACTGTGCGGGGTTTTTTTGTTTTGTTTTGTTTTTTAAGAATTATTTTATTTAACTTTATTTATTTATTTATTTATTTAATCTGACCAGAGAGGGACAGAGTGCAAGGGGGAAAGTGAGAAAACAAGCCGCCAGGTCTGGGACTTGAACTGTAGTCGACCACGTGGAAGTCAGTGCCACCTGCCAGCCCCAACTATGGCATTTAAATCTCAGCCTTGGTGACTTGAAAAACACGCCAGTCCTATGTGCCTGCATGCTTCAGTTCCCAATAGGATGGAGACATGGAGAAGAAAAGGGATTGCAGTGTGTCCCCGCCCCGACAGGGGGTGCTTTTCCCCAAGCACTGTCTCTCTCTGGCAAGTAAATGTGCTCTCTGGCAAATTAAAAACAAAAAACCTTTGGCGTTAGTTCTGAGTGTGAGCAGAGAAAGCTTTCGAAAGCATAGTAGGAGCCATGGTTTCCATTTCAGCTGCTCATTTATGTCAATATAGAAGGTAAAATTATTTGCTTTTGCATACTTAGTGGAATTGTTAAAATTTTAAAAAAGCTTCTGGTGCTTTTATGTATACAAAAATTGTCAGAGTGATCTTGGGGAGGAGAGCTTAACTTAGTAAATGGCTTCACCCCACACACAAGGTTTTTGTTATAGGGTATGTGTGCTTGCCAGAGACAGAGAAAGTGAGAAATCACCCTCCATGGGGCAGGGGGGCGGGTGACCATGCCACAATCCCTTCTCCTCCTGTCTCCTTTCAGCTCTTTTGGGCATGCATGCATACACACCTGGCGTAATTTCGTAGACCCAGGACTTGAACTGTAGCTGGCCATGTGAGAATCCAGTGCCTTAAACACCATGCCATCTCCTGGTCCCAGTAAATGGCTTTTGGAAAGCATTTTCTTAGATAAAAGTCAGATTTAGATATGCTACAGTTTGAATATGTCCTCCCAAATTCATGTGTTAAAATTTGGCCCCTGATGTAATGGTGTTGGGAAGTGGTGAGACCTTTAAGACGCAAGGCCTAGTGGGATGTTTGGATGATGGGGCATGGACAGACAGGTAAGAAGGAAGTGAGTTCTCACTCTCATGGGAAGGGGTGAGGGCAGGCTGGACTTAAAGTAAGATGGCAGCCTACACGTTGTGCTCATTCTCTCCACACAGGCACTGATTTTTCTGTGTCTGTCAGCCATGTTGCAACACAGGACCCAGGCTAGCCAGATGCTGACCCCAGTGCTCTTTAGGTTTCCAACCAGCAGATTCATGAGCCAAACCAACCTCTATTTGTTATAAATTGCTCGGTCTCAAGTATTCCTATTTAGCAACACAACAGCAGATTAAGACTATATACGTGTGCATACGTGTGTGTATATACATATGTATGTTTGTATGTATATGTGTGTGTGTATATATATATACACACACACACACACACGTGTGTGTGTGTGTGTGTGTGTGTATTGCATGCTTATAATCAGATTAAGATAAGAACCTCAGGGCCGGCAGGTGGTATGGTGGTTGGGGCACTGGACTCTCATATGGTCAACTGCCGTTCAAGTCCTGAAGCTGACAGCTTTCTTTCTCACTTTCCCTCGCTTTCTCTCTGTCTATCTCTCTGTGGTGGGTGCAGGTGCCCTAAAGCAAGTTAAAAATAATAAAATTTAAAAAGTAATTTAAAAAGATGTTTTAAAAAATTTGTGTTTCCTTATATTCTGGGATTATAAATGGCCTCAATTCCAAACTCAAATTAGTGTGGCTGCTCCTTCCCTTCAGTCTTCCCCCCTCCTCTCCTCTCCCTTCTTCTTTCTTCTCCTCCCATTCCTCCCCCTCCCCTCCCCTCAAGTCAACTACTCACCTGGTCCAAGTAGGTCCCAGAGCTAATTCTCCTTCATTTACCTCCAGTCTCAATGTAGTCCTTCCAAAGGAAAAAGCCCGAACACTTAATTTACAAAAGCAAGCGCCCCTTCAATCTTTAAAGCACTCTGTAGGCATATTCCCTGACAATTCAGAAAAAACAACTACTTATTATAGTTTTAAACATTTTTCTAAACTTGTATGATATGGGAAAATAGGCTTCATTAGTGATATGGTACAAATTGTGTCACTTCCCTGCCCCCCAAAAAAGCAATAAACTTGGTAGAAATTTTGCCTTTAAAAGTGCCATTCACTACTCATAGCCCCTCACATGCAGGCTTAAAATGCACTGCTTCATTTTTTGCTTCCTCTTCCTCATTCCTATCTGCTCCATTATTCTCAGAATACCCTATCATCTCAATCTAAAGCATTATTTCTTGCAAGATTATCAGTAACTTTGGAGCACCCCACTTCTCCCAGCCTCAATCATAACCACAGGAAGCACATATTTGAAGAGCTGTCTGTAGTGGTAGTGCATTTCCATCATCCGCGCACCTAAAACAACTGGTGCTTCCTGACACTCTCCAAATAGTTGAACTTGAAGCAGATTACCCTTTGAAATCCTGCTCTCAGGCATGACTGTAATAAATTACTTAAGTGCCTTCTTGCTCAAAGTGTGGCCTGCAGATCAGTGAAATCTGCATCGTGGAGAGCTTGCGTTTAACAAATCTCCAGGTACTTGGGATGCACATCAAAGTTTGCACTGTGCAGAAGTCAAGAGTCATTATCATATAGAGTGAGTTATAAATGTGAATTATACAGCTTTTATGGGAAACCACCTGGAAGTCTTTGATAAAAATACGTATGTACCCTTTCACCACTCAATCCTACTCTCAGAAATCCTGATAGGAGTAATAGCAAAACATAAGGAATTTATTCAGATGTAAGGAATCAGTTTATTGCAACATTATTTATAGTAACAGTAAAGAACAAATGAAAGGTGGGAGAAAAGCAGGAAAGAGGGAAAGGACTCACGCTTCTACAAAGTAAACGCCCATCAAGAGAGGAACGCCCATTAATAGGGAGAAGGTTGAAGAAATGATTGTCCACCCGATGAGGTACTATTTCAAGTGAATGAAAGCTGTTAGCGGTTACCTTGATTTCCATTGCAGGGGAAGAGCAGGGAAAAGGAAGTGGGGATGATCTTAGCATTTCTGTAAAATAATGACAATGGATGTGTGTGTGTGTGTGTGTGTGTGTGTGTGTGTGATTACATAAATGTGCACAGAAACAGTGGTGGGACATGTACTAGGTATGTAACTTGGATGACCTGAGTGGAGGGAGGACTGAGCCAAGCAAAATGCAAACCTGCTGGGGAAAAAAGTACCCTAAATAAAAACTGTTAAGTATGGACTGATGTCACTTGCACAGTTCTGTAAATAAATTACAGAAAGATGGAGAAGATAAAAAAAGAGATCCCATGAACAAGTGTAAGAAAAAAAACGAGGGGTTCTTGATGCTTCTAAAAAGATTTAAATTATACTCTCTTAAACCATTTAGCCTGCTCCATTTAGCCACTCCTGGGGATGACAAAGACTGGGGACATGCAGAGCAGTAGGGACTCCCCCAGGCTCCTCCCTGGTGCATCACTTGATGTTGTGCTGAGTCCTTAAGGGCGCCACAGGCTAACCCCCACTGAGTTCTGTTAAACTCACCACACACGGTGACTGGCTCCACAAACACAAAAGTCAAGAGGACAACAGACAGGAGGTTGAGGAGACCACATTTTGCCCTTTGAGAAATGCCAACAGTTGACTATGGTAGCAAACTCAGTAAAAAACTGTATTGGGGCCAGCAGGTGGCGTGGGGGTTAAGGTGCTGGACACTCCCACATGGCCAGTTCGAGTCTCAGCTCTACCTGGTGGCTTGCTTTCTCACCTTCCCTCTCTCTGTGTCTGTCTCTGGTCAAATTAAAATAAACAAATGAATAAGTAAAAATAAACAACTCTTTAAAAAAAGAAATACATAACTTTTACATACTCTGGTGTTCCAGGCCAACCAAGCCAGGGATTCAAATAGAGGACACCAGTGAGATCCAGCTTTTGGCAGCACATTACTGCTGTGCCATGGAGCTTGCCCCTGAATACCAAATTTGACAAAAGCTTAAGAACAGAATCACAATTCATTTGATAAAGGAAAAGTTCAATGTTCACTTTTCTTATGTCCATTGTGAAATACTTGTCTGAGCGACAAGCATCAGGTGGCTCCTCCAGGAATCTTGATGGCCCACCACACTGATCTGAGGAGGAAGGGACTAATTTGGATTGTCAGGAGGAAAGTTTTGCTGTAATGAGCCATTTGAAAGGTATGGAGAGGGGTAAATGCCTTGGTTTTTGGCTCATCTATTTAAAGACGGTTAACTGTGAAAAAAGTGCCTATTTACGTGTCTTACCCTGCCCCTTCACTCATTTTAATACAGGCTCTATGAACACAGCCATGATCTCAGCCTTTTCCTCTTCAACGATGCACTGCTCGTTTCTAGTCGGGGCACATCTCACACTCCCTTTGAAAGGACTTCCAGCACAACCTACCAGTTCATGGCGTCAGTGGCCCTTCATAGGCTACTCATAGAAGATATTCCAGATTCCAAGTGTATGTATTTTCTTCTTTCTCCGAGATGCTTCACAAAACTAGATTATATATAGCTCATTAATAAAACAGTAAAGTAGGAAAAGAACTGAAATAATAATTTGCCAGTTTGTGAACAATTCCCCAAATATTAGGATTTCATTAAACAATGTATATTTTCATCTACCTCTGAAATAGCAAGGCAGGACTGCTGGCTTGTCAGGCATGCGCCCTAGACCTTTGAAAACAGCTTTAGAAAACCACTAAGAGCAAGACCCTACTTCGTCATGAGTCCTTTGAAGCTGTCTGTCACAAAAGCTGGAACTCTTAACCACTGCTCTACTCTGACTGATGATGTTAGTCTTGAAGTACTATTTTAGATTTTCACCCTATTTTTCTATCTTCTATGACTAAGTGACTATTTTGACTTTGACTATACCTTTTCTTCCTTAAGTTCACATTTAAGCTGAGAATTTTTCTATATAAATCAACGGATTGGCAAAGGATGCTTAGTAATATTTCTTTCATAATAATTCCAGTAAAAAATCATATCACAAAAAGAAAGCTGACTTAAACCTATTATACTATTTTAAATTACCCTACACTTTCTCAAGTTTAAAAAAGTCTATATCTCTTTCCTATATTTCTGTTAGACTAGACAATCTGAAGGAGACATTTCTCATGCCAGTATTTTTCACTGCATGTAAGAAAGACAAGGGTATAAGGTTAAAACTGGGACAAGATCTCAGAGAAGGAACCACACCAAACAAATAAACAAACATAAAGGGCGGATTCCTATGAGCTTCAGCTCCATTCTAAATCTGAGTCTGAGGGGAAAAAAAATGAAGGTAAGTATAGGAATAAATATTTCCCACCTAGAAGACAAACTGAGGTAAAGAGGGTCAGTTCTCTGAACCACTTGGTATGGTTAAATAGTTTGTAAAATATTTTTCCTTTTGGTTCTCTTTCCACCATGATAATCAGCTGTGCCCTAAGGTAAGACACTGCTATGTAATCCCATAGGTAGCAGGCATTCAGCTAAGTAGTTGGCTTTAATTCTGTTAATGGCTCTCGCATCAAGACTACCTAGATCAAGATCTAGAAATTAAAAGAATTTCTCTATCATGTAGTCTTTGAAATAATTGGGAATTATAATTTAAAAATAACAAATGATTATTTTAGATTATGATATATTTGGATTATTTTAGGAAGTTATAATCTAAACTAGATTTGTATTTGTTTTCAATTTCTATTTTTAGGTTTTAAAATATCCTTAAAGATGATGTGGTCAATTCTTGAACTTCAAAACATTTTCTTCTTTTCTTCTGATTGCTACCTGCAAAGACTAATCAGTGTACTCCAAATGCTTTTACAGATGTCAAGAATGCATTTATTCTTCAAGGTCCAAAACGTGAATGGATTTGTGCCACAGAGGGAGAGGATGACAAATTCCTATGGTTGTCCGTTCTCCAAAATGCAATTAGAAGTAGTATGAAGAGGTCAGACTGGACTTAAAGAAAACCTCAAGGGTTCCAATTCTTCCTGGTGAAGAGAGACACATGTATTTTCTGCTCAAAATATTCAGTAAGAAGCAGAATGACTGGGGCCGGCAGGTGGCACGGTGGTTGAGGCACTGGACTCCCACACGGTGGACCATGGTTTAAGTCCTGAGCCTGGTGGCTTGCTTTCTCAGTCTCTCCTTCCCTCCATCTGTCTCTCTCTGGTCAAAATGGAAGAATAATGATAAAAAAAAATTAAAAATACATAAAAAATAAAAAGCAGAATGATTACTTTCACTGAGAGAATGAACTAAGATGAGCCTTCTGACTTTTCTACTTTATCTATGCTCAATTAATGTGAAACATAAAATAACAACAGCTGGAGTCCAAAATTCTGAACTGTTTCTTTAGTAGTAATTTTTTATGGACAATACTATTTAGAGTAATTTGACTGATTGATTAAATCTAAGAACAAGTATACTGTGTAAAGCTTTATTTTATAATCTAATTAAAAAGAATCAAAATGAGAAGTGTTTAAATGATCAGTCCAAAAAAATTTCTAATTTGTTGGTGATTTACAAATTATCTTTAACATTTTCATGAAACAATGACTGATTTTTGAAAAATGCATAAGAGATAAACAGTAATTTGTTCAGAAACCTGTCATAAATATCCATATGAATGTACTCCTTTAGAAAGCATTAAAAATATTCCATATTCCTAAAATGTTCTCTGTAATTTTTGTTTTGTTGTTGCAAAACTAAATTCTTAGATCTTTGAAATAAGAAGCTTTACAAATATTTGTGACATTGTTAAATTCAAAGGTTACTGGGAAAAAAAGCAACTTTTAAGAAACAAAAATAAATGCAAGTGAGTAAAACTTGTCTATAATAGAATTCTGCTGAGTATAGAAAAAAAAAAAGCCATTCTGCTGTTTAAAACCAACAGCAAAGTGATGTCGAGCATTTTTCTGGGTCTTTTAAGCCTTAATTTGATCATGTAATGAGCTAAATCTACTGGAACAGTCAAAAACTATGATCTAGAAAAACACTTTTTTCTTTCAACAATAAAAATTCAAAGTCCTAATTCCTAAAAATTTAAATCTTCTTTCAAAATGTACTGAAGTTGGAGCCAGTGAATGGTGTAGTGGTTAAGGCACTGGACTCCTAATGGTCAACCACAGTTTGAGTCCTGGACCTGGTGACTTGAAAATTGTGTGCTCAAAATCCCAGGAGAAGAATGGATTGTAGCATGGTCATCCCCCCGGGGAGTGATTTCCCTGTCTGTGAGGAGCACACTCGCCCTATGGCAAAAAAAAAGAAAGAAATGTACCAAAGTTGGGACCAACAGATGACACAGTGGTTATGTTTCTGGATTCCCATGTAGTCCACCACGGTTTGAGTCCTGAACCCTGTGGCTTAAAACTCACACCATGCATGTGTGTGTGTGTGTGTGTGTATGTGTGTGTGTGTGTGTGTGTGTGCGTGTGTTCATGCACGCATGCCCCAAATCCCAAGAGGAGAATGAAGGAGAAGGGACTGTTGCATGGCCATACCCCCTGTGAGGTGATTTCTGGCTTTCTGTCTCTCTTTGTCTCTCCATGAGCGCATGCACCCTATAACAAAAATCTCTCTGAAAAGAAAGTAATGTACCAAAGTTAAAATATTGTTCTATTAATATAAACTCACATTTCTGATTCTGTTGGGATATATCCAGAAGCAGTTTAACAACTGTGATCTGATGGACAGAATAAACTTTAGAGATTGTTTACTGTAAGTCAGCAAGAACGCAAATTGACAAATATGATTAAAATGTATATATCACAAAAAACAAATCCTTAAACAGTGATCATCCTAAATAAAGCATATTCCAGAAATTCCCTGTTAATAGGAAAATCTTGCCAATATAGCAAAATAATGAGCGATAAGACAGCTGAAGGCAAAACTAGAAATCTTAAGAAATTTCCATTTATTTGTTGAGTAATTTATACCCTCAGAAGTTCTAGAACATATTACTTCAAAATAAGCTGTAAAACTTCAAATAGAGAGCTAAAATACATAAACATGCCCAAAAAGGTGGGGGCGGCAATGTTTCTGAGGTGTCAGGATTTAAGTTAGTTCTCACATTTTCTCTTCACCCTGAGGGGACAATTAAGAAAGGTGATCAAATTTTCACAAGGCAAATATAAAATCTGACACCTGAGCTGACATACAAAGGAAGTCTCAAGGTTTTGTGTGACTCCTGAAGAATGCTCCTTACTGCAAAGAGGAACTAAATGACTTACAGTGAAAATTAACTTGTCCAATACAGTTTTCTAAAACAAAAGAATCCAACAGAAATCTCATTTTAAAGCTTTGTATAAAACAAATATAGATGCTTTATGTAAAATACTAAACCTAATAGAAGACAAATCAGTTTAATTTTGTTTTCCTTTGCAAAGATTTCTCAGTTTGTGCTTGAGATATAAATGAGAAGCTCACTCTGTAAATCAAACCAGTGTGCAATTTTGGTCATATAAACACAACAGATCGATATTATGTATTCCTTCCACTGTGGAACAGCAGGGGTGGGGTGTGCAAACAAACACAACATACTCTCCAGAAAAAGTCATCCTGACCCTTTTATTGTTGAAATTAAAAAATAAAAGATACTTAAATACAATGGTGAACATATAGGGCAAAACAAAATCATAAAATTTAATGTTAAGCAGTGAGCAGAATGTTTGGGTCTCCAAATTGGCTTTGAACCCAAAACTGCTTAAAAATGGGTATGTTCACAGTTAACGGCAATTGGCTTATAAGTGAGAGAATGGTCGGAGTTGTTCCAGTTGAACTTCCAGGGAAATTCTCTCCTCAAGAACATCCTGAAAAAGATGCAAAGGACAAATTATATTTCAAAGTATATTAAGATGAAGCCATATCTAACAATGGTCCAGCTTCAGGAGAATATTTTAAATTTGTCATGAATGTTAAAAGATAGCTATCCATATTTTAAAAGTATACTTCACTTTGGGAAGGTAGTTTCTCTCTACAATCATAATATTAAAATATAACCTTAGTAAATCTTTTTATTTCTTTTATCAGGATAATACAATTTGTTGTCTATGTATTAATACGAGAAAAGTCAATACTGGCAACAAATGGGTGTTAGTGCCTAACTGTGCATTAAGCCTGCTTGCTACCTGAATTAACCGTAGATAAATTACTTAACATAGAATCTTTCCCCTAGCGATGATACCATGCTATATCAACTCCTGTATCTCATTGTGAGTTTCAGTTACACAGAGAATAGATTAAGTCTGTACATTTAATTTTTAATCACTGGAGATTCTGAGTAGTCTTTCCCAAGTTCTAATTTACTTAATACTTCAGTTTATTTTCATTTTCTCCATCATACTGACAGTGTTTTGCTTTAACTAGATCTATCCTTTTCCTATTTGGTAGCTTACTTTCTATTTTGAGGTAATGAGAAAAGTGGCTTTTTAAATAGCTCCTATATATTTGTTTTTATAGTTTTCTCCGATTCTTCAGAAACACACACATTAACATTTTCATCAAGGTATGACACTAGCAAACTTATTCTTAAGTTCTGTATTCTTCCACTGGTTTACGAGACATGAGCTCTTAATGTTGGTGAACCAAAAATTATTTTAATCATAGGAATTTTTTTAACCATAAATATATTTTATTCAAAGGGATTCAAATAAAAAATGGTTTTTAGTGAGAAAAAGAAAACAAATTCATGCCTCCTAAGTGTTTGATGACAGTGGTATACGTTATACACAAGTAACATTTTTTTTTTTTTGGAGAGGTTTTTGCTATAGGGCGCGTGTGTCCGCCACACAGAGAGAGACAGAGAAACAGAAAGTGAAAAATCACCCCCCACGGGGGATGACCACGCCGCAATCCCTTCTCCTCTGTTCTCCTCTTGGGACCTTGGGTACACACGCACACGTGCCCAGTATGAGTTTTAAGCCACCGGGCCAGGGACATGAACCGCAGTTGACTACATGGGAGTCCAGCAACATAGCCATTACGCTAACTGCTGGTCCCCACAAGTAACATTTCTATTTAAGGCTTGTCTTTTCTTTTTCCACATGCAAGACCATATAAATTCCCCCATCTCTCCTCTGCTTTAGACCTTTCTAAGGTCCTTTAATAGAACCTGAGCTGTCTTCATAAAAGGATAAATGGGCTCTTTTTCGAGGTGACTCGGAGGAGGTCAGCTGCTTAAAGATGAAGCTGAATATTTCCTTGTGAAGAATAGAAGGGTTATGTAGTCCAAATCGGTGGTGGAAATGACAAACAAGGTTTCCCCATGAAGCAGGGTGTCTTGATCCCATGGCCATGTCTGCCTGCTACTGAGTAAGGGACATTCCCAGTACAGACCAAGGAGAACTGGAGAAAGAAAGTGCAAATCTGTTCGGGGTTGCATTGTGGATGCCAACCTGAGCGTTCTCAATTTGGTTATTGTTAAAAAGGGAGAGAAGGATATTCCAGGACTGACTGATACTACCGTGCCTCGTCCCCCTGGGGCCTAAGAGAGCTAGCAGAATCCGAAAACTTTTCAATCTCTCTAAAGAAGATGATGTCCATCAATATGTTGTAAGAAAGCCCTTAAATAAAGAAGGTAAGAAACCTAGGACCAAAGCACCCAAGATTCAGCGTCTTGTGACTCCCCGTGTCCTGCAACACAAACGCCGGCGTATTGCCCTCAAGAGACAATGTACTAAGAAAAATAAGGAAGAGGCAGCAGAATATGCTAAACTTTTGGCCAAGAGAATGAAGGAGGCTAAAGAAAAATGCCAAGAACAGATTGTGAAGAGACGCAGGCTGTCCTCTCTGAGAGCTTCTAAGTCTGAATCCAGTCAAAAATAAGATTTTTATGAGAAAGAAATAAATAAGGTCAGATCTCAAAAAAATAAATAAATAAATAAATAAAATAAAAGGATAAATGGGGCCAGGAGATAGTGTGGTGGTGAAGGTGCTGGATTTCCACATGGCTGATCATGGTTCAAGTCTTGGACTGGTGGTTCAAGTCTCTAGCACATGTCCCCTATAGTAAATTTAAAAGTAATAATAATAATAATAAATAAAATTAAGTAAATAATTTTTTTTAAAGAATAAACTTAACAACAGTTGACTTATCTAAGAATTAAATAGAGAGTAGAGAGCCATGTTTATGATCTTGGAGATAATGTAATCATAACACTTTTTTTTTTTTTTTTTTTAGAGGTTTTGAGGGCGCATGCACTCACTAGATAGAGACAGAGAGAAAGAGAGAAATCACCCCCCCCAGGGGGGATGGTCACGCCGCAATCCCCTCTCCTTCATTCTCCTCTCGGGATCTTGGGCATGCACGCACATGTGCCCAGCGTGAGTTTTAAGCCACCGGGTCTAGGACACGAACCGCGATCGACTACATGGGAGTCCAGCGACATAGCCATTACACTAACTGCTGGTCCTTAACCATAACATTTTTTTCCCTTTTGGCTTTTTTAACAAAAGTTAAGCAATATTATAGAAATAGTGATAAGGTGTCTTCATACCAGAATCTAGTATAAAAAATTCCTTTTAGTACTGAAAGACTCAAAGGTTCACCAACATTTTAGATACACATTTCTCTTGCTAGGGGGAAAGCTTTATATGTACTCTGAATCCACTGAACATCCCAAATAAAGATTTGAAACTACATTACCTTTAATTGTTGCTGCAATTCGCTATTTAATCTGGCCAAAACTGTGTTGGTTTCCTTATTGCGTCTAATTGATGCCTGAATAGCTTTCTTATCTTTCCCAACAGATCTGAGAAGACAAAGGGGACAAAAAAGCACAACCTTCATTTCCTACCTTTAAATTCTCCCCACTCTCAGCTATTTCTAACATGGAAAGCAAGAAGCAGCATCTTTTCCTTATCAGCACAGCTTACCCTTACTCATTTGGTGTCAGTGGTACATTGTTTTAATTATTCTTTTTCTGTAAAATCACCTAAGTTAAAGTTAAGTAGTTTAGAGCAAGCTTTAGCAGCTTTTCTGTGCATGGCCAGACAGTATTTCAAGCTTTGCATGCCAATTTCTGTTGCATATTCTATTTATTTCATTTGTCTTTTCCTCTATTCTATCCTTTTTACTTTCTTCGCTTTTTTACAAAAAAAGTAAGAGTCATTCTCAGCTCATGGGTCATACGAAAACAGGCCAAAGGACTAATCTGGCCTGGGAGCCTTAATCAACTGCCTCTTGGTCTAGAACAACCACAGTCACAGTATCAGTTACACTCGACACTGCCAACTTCAAAGATGTCTGCTTGCTCCAGGGTTTGCAACGAGGTGAAAATGGAATTGGAACGGAACTTAATAATAAAATGAGAAAAGTAGAAAGAATATTCTACCCATTCATAAATGAGAAAGCTCTCAAAGAGAAAAAAAATCCGTGCTCAAATAGAGCCCTACTCTGATCATAATTTCTTTCAGTTTGATAACTGCTTTCTGTTCCTAGTAAGGAAATGCACTTAGAAAAGTATGACTACCTAGGAATAGAAGGCTGTGATGCAAGTACAGCAGCTAGGACACCTGTCTTTTGCGTATGTTCATCAACTTCTGGCCTTAATTCATCTTCTGATTTTAGTCTTCTTCGAACAGGTTTAGGTGGTGGAGCAAGAGGTGTTGTGCCTTTGCTCTAGAAAACAAGAATCCCGTTAATAATGTCTTTTGAGGACATTCATGGTTAGCAATCTGCCAACACCATTTATTACCTTTAAGCCACGTGTTCTGGAAAAATCAGTTACTTATGCAACAGCTAACTTATATTTCAAGGGGAGAGGACATTTCTAATTGAAATCACAATCATGAATGAACCTAAAATATACACTTTTAAAAGAGTGACACAAGATCCTTGAGTCTGAATCTAATCTAAGACCATAATATTCAGTTTTAACATAAATGTTATACGAGCTCAATAAACATCTAATCTTTTAAAATAAAGTTGCTGGAAATATTCATCATTATTACTGTGGAATTTCCTATTGAAAAATACTAAGATGTATCATTTTAATGAATTAAACTATTCATTTTAAAGAAATAGAAACCTAGATAATTCTTAAAAACAAAACAAAATAAACCACTGCTAAGATACTAAGTAACTCTTGAAAATGAGAGAACATTTTGTTGGGAGACTATGAATCTGCCCACAACAGAATCAAATATGGTATTTCATTATTTACCATAACCTGACTCTCTTGCAAATACACAAGAGTCAACTGCTATTTCTTTAGTTAAGTGTTTTTATTTTGTTGCCATGAATTGACAAAAATAAAAAATTTTAAAGAACATCATAGAACTAATATAGTAGAATGACAAATTATCCAGAGAGCAGAATTTAAGCACTTTCAGAAACACATGCTATTTGTATAATTACTAGGAATGTCTGGATGGTGACAAAAAAAAATTTACCAAAATTATTCCCTCATGGGGAAAGTATTCTAATAACTGCAAGTTGAAATGGCATAAAATAGATGAGAAGCTTGAAAGACAGAAAAACGAGAGACATGTAGCAAAGCAAATATAGTAAAATATTAATGGTATAATAACAATGATGACTTTACTGATATATAATGTAAAATTCTTTAAACTTTTCTATATGTTTAAGATTTCCATAATAAACATTGGAGAAAAAAATATCCCTAAAACAGTTGAAGAAAAAAATCAAGAGTACAGAGTTACTATAACATTTACATTAGGGCACTGGTAATTTTTCTCTACAAGAAGCTGAACCTGGAACCAGCAGTTAGCATAATGGCTATGTCGCTGGACTCCCATGTAGTTGACCGCGGTTCAAGTCCCGGACCCAGTAGCTTAAAGTCACGCTGGGCGCGTGTACGTGAGTGCCCAAGATCCTGAGAGGACAAGGGAGGAGAAGGGATTGTGGCATGGGCATCGCCCCTGGGGGGTGATTTCTTGCTTTCTGTCTCTGTCTTTCTGGCGAGCGCACGCACCCTATAGCAGAAACCTCTCCAAAAAAAGTATTTAAAAAAAAAAAAAAAAAAGGATACTGAATCTGAATCTGACCTATGAAGAAATTCTACTTCATGTATTTGGGAGACTGTAATACCACATAAAATCTGAGAGATTGTGGCATATCCTATTACAGATTAGAGGATATCCTCTTCATTAAATAGGTACTCCTTGTCCTGACACAGACCGGATATCTTACAGTTAAACACAGTGGAACAGATTAGATAATCTCTGGTTGACTTATTGCTAAAAACTATCTCATATAACTTTTTGTATGTGCAAAATTATCAATATTATAAACCATCTTTTGCATACCACATTGGCGGGAGCGTTAGCAGCTGTCTTTTCTTCAATTTTACCATCTGTTTTGGCAACTCGAAGAGAACTTGCAGGATCAGAAGGCTTTTCAACCTGTATGTGAATATATGATCTCTATTAATTCTCTGTAATACATAATTATGTATAAACATGGAATATATAACAAATCAGAGTAAAACGTTAAGAAAATATTCATTATGATAAGCAATTTGAGATGAGGATCAGAAGGAACTTGGAAAAACCTTGTTAAATGACCTTTGACTGCAGGGAAGGTGAGGATAGAGCCACTCTGTGAACCTCTGCAGTGGCTGAACACCAGTACCCAGTGACGCTTGCTCATCTGCTCTTGCCCTTAGGCCTGCCCCTGTCTTCCTTGGCCTTTAATGGACTAGGCAGAAAGTTACAGGTTAAAAGAGGCTAGTTTAGCGGGAAATCTTCATGCGTCAGATCTATATGAAACCATTGTCTCAGTTATGGTAGTCAAATAAACATGGGTTTTGGGATCTGTTTGAGAGGCTTAATATGAGCTGAAACAATCGGAATCCCTCTGGTCCCTTCAACTACGTATTTATGCTCAGTGATTTAGGTCAGGGATTCCTAGAGAAGTTCTTGCCACTAGAACTATGATGGAATTTCCTGGAACACTGTCTGCAAAGATTAAATTCTGGCAGCACGTAGTGTATAAATCTGCCTAACAAGGGAGGCAACTACTCTCATATAAACTAAGCATAGCCAAGACAACCATAGCTGCACAATAATCTACAACAAATCACAAAACCAGAGGCTTAGCATTAAGAAGTCTCCAGATCAATTTCCAGCCAGGACCAGAAGGATGTCTTTGTGTCTTTTCACATTAACCTACTCACCCCACAGATTCTAGATTCTGCTTCTTCGTCAGCTTCCTACTGTAACAAGTAGATTTCAGAAACCAATTAAAAAAACTGAGAGGCACTGACCAGGGAATATATGACGGGACTTCAAAAACCTTGCGGATGGCCAAGCCTAGATGGTGCCGTCTGTAGCATACTGGACTACAGTGCTAGCAGCCAAATGGCTTTCCTGGCATGCTGGACACCCGGGATTCTGAGGAGCTAGGGGGTTGGGGAAAGGGGATCAGATCCTGTTGAGGTCTTCCCACCTCCCCTCCTGTCATTAAAAAAAAAAAAAAAAAAAAAAAGTTCATGGAATAGTGAAATTAAAGTATGAGTATATTCTGGTGTTAAAAAAAAAATTTGAATCCAAGGCTAGTTTTTCCACAACATGCATTTTCCACAAACTTTTTGAGGATCCCCTGTAAATCCTCACTGATGTCATCTCTAATATCTGCTTTTTTAGGGGTTCTGGGTCTAGACATGAACTTTTATAAACACGACATGGGAAGAGACTGCCCACAGAAAATTAGTTACACCCCTGAATACTGACCGGCAAGACCTCTGGATGTTTCTCAGCTTCATCATCTTGTTCTTCATTTACATTTGATGCAGCAAATACTTCGAATTGGCTGAAATCTGCAAAATTTGGTTGCTCTGGTATCTGCTGAGGTGAGGTACTAGTGTGAGTAATCAGGCCATCGGCATCCACTGGGCGATGCACAGCGGGACCAGGAGCCTGGGCAACAGTTTAAAACAGAGGGACAAGCATTTCACTGCCTTATCTATATCACAAAGTAGCCTTCTTCTTCTTTGAAATGTATTATAAAGATGATCTGTTTGGGGCCAGCAGGTGGCATGGTGGTTGGGATGCTAGACTCCAACATGGCTGACCACGGTTTGAGTCTTGGACCTGGTAGCTTGCTTTCTCATGCCTCCCCTACCCCCATGTTGAGTGCCCTATACTAAATAATAATAACAAATAAAATTTCAAAAACACATATAAAAAGATGACCTATTAACTAAATGTAGAGAAGTGTACTACAGTAACATTTAGCTCTAAATGTTTAAACCCTAACTCAAAAAAGGTAAGACAATTAACTTGCCAAAAAAAAAAAAAGATACTTTTCAAAATTGTCATTGCAAATAAAGTACACTGAAGAAAAGGGGAGGATCTGGCCCTACCCTGATTTTCCACTTGTATCTAATTTTTGTCTTAATTTAGCTACTACACAACAGTTCATTCCTTTAAAAAGTTCTTTTAAAAACTATTTTTATTAATTACTTCTTAAAAGAATTTTATTCAATTTGACTTAATATTATTATTATTTAATTTGACTGGATAGAGTCAGAGAGGGAAAGTGAGAGAGCAAGCTGCCAGGTTGAACCATGGTTAATTAACCATGTGGAAACCCAGCGCCTTCATCACCACGGTACCTGCCTGCCTCTTAAATGTTAAAGTGCGGAGGTATTTTAAGGTGCCGTAGGTATTCTCCCAATATGCCAGGCACACTTCTCTTCAACTGGGCCTGCACTCCTTTGCCAGACCAAGGCTGTCAACATTTCAGTCTGAAAATACACTTAGCATTTATTTTGTGCCAGGCACTATAGGTACAATAATGAACAACACAAGTAAGGCTCATGGCCTAATAAAGCAGACGGTCCAGTCTAGTCAGGATAAAAGATAAGTAAACAGGAATTAAAATAGAATGTGAGATGTTTTATGACAAGGAAGTAAAGATGCCTCAGGAACAAATCTGTAGTCTCTTCCCTGTTTACCCTTTAAAAACTCCCCATGTCCTCTAAGAAAAACTTATCCCTCCTATTATGCTATAGAAGACACTGTCTTTTCTCTGCGTTTCCACTTGTATTTCTCATCACCCCACATGTCTGCTCCAGCTATACTGAACTAATCGCTTTTCTCCTGGAGTATACCAGGCTTCACACACACTCTGTGCTTTATGGACACCACCTCTTTCACTTGGCTGCCCCTCCCCCAATAAATACTTATCTTTCAAGTCCTTGCTCATGTCTTCCTTACTTCCTTTTCCCTATACCTTCTCAATGCGGCACACACTTACTGGCCACTGAGACTATCCTAAAACATTTTAAACATACATCTACTACAGCAAGTCAATTTCGACCTAGAAGCATAGAAATTTTGATTGAGGGTAATTAACACTTCCTTTACTTATGCAGTAACACAGCCAGTGAGATACAGGGCTCACTCTGTGAGTTATGCTACGGTTCCTCCAAAAAATAACTAAGATGGTTATTGATGTTCTTGTTTTCCAAAATAAGATTTAACTTCATTCAGT